TTTTCTTAGCAAAGAGAAATGTATATTAGTTTTCAGATTTGTAATATTGCTTATGGTAATCTCTTATAAATAATAAAGTTACTAATAGCTGTTCTGGTATTTTAAAAAGAAAAGATTTTAAACTTAAAATTTTTTGATTTAAAAATTAATTTTACAATAAAATTTCATTTATTAATTAAAAAATTAAAATAAACTATTTTTTAACTATTAAAAAACATTTATTTAAATTTTGAAATTATTAATTTGTTTATTTATAACAAAAATAATTTGTTCAAAAAATATTATATACTACTGTATATCTGATATTATATAATTTAAATAAAGAAATAAAATTTATTTACTAAAAAAAAAAATAATAATAAATAATAATTTAATTTAATTAAGTTGTTTTTAAAATTAATTTAGTTTAAATAATAATATAATATATATTTAAATAACAAATTATAAAATAAAAAACTCTTTTTAAATCATATTTGTTTTGTTGAGAAAAAAGAGTTTATTCTTTTTATTGCAAGTAAACTTTAGCTTAAAAACTTAAGAATTTTCAAGACAACTGATACAATAGAATAAAACCTTTTCTAAGTTCTATTCAAGTTTAAAATTCTTGCTTATCTTTTGGTTGCATAAGAAAAGACTTATAACAGTTTTTTTTTTATTATTTTCTTATACTTCTCATTATTCTTATTATATTATAAAAACTATTTATATCAATACTATTATATTTGTTAAATTAAACACTTCTTCAAAAATATACTTAAACAAAATTGTTAAATCCAATATTTATTTCAAGTCAATCCTTACACATAATATTACTATGACAATATTTATTATATTATCTCAAATTTCTTAAAATTTTTTATTCAAAAAACTGAAATTAGTTTATCATCTCCATATGAGTATCACTGTTCAATCATTCATCATCTTTTATCAAAACATTAAAACAAAAACCAAACTTGCTCAAACTAGTTTTTCAGTACAACAATAACAATAATAACAATAATAACAATAGACAATATCAAGTATATTATAATTTTTTGTTATTAAAGCATATGCCAACAATTGGAGAACTTAATATACTCCAGTTTTTCTTACAGTCAAACAAAAGACTCTTCTGAAAACATGATCTTTACTGTCACAAATCCTATTGTTTATTTGATTTAGTTTCAGCTCTAATTATTTTATTATTGTATATATTTTCATTTATTATCTATTCATTTATATTTTATTTTCAAATTTACAAAAAGATTTCACAAAATTTTTCAAGTATGTAGGCATAGCTGCTACTTCTTTATTGAACACATTAATATTGTATTTGAAATTTTTTTAAAAGATTTTAAGAATTGAGTAGCAGTAAATAATTTTAGCAGTTTTTAAATTCTATCCAATTATATTTACGACAACTACCGATCATTAAAAGCTACGTAGTTTGTACAACAGAAAAATGGACACAACATACGACATGCATTTGAGTTAATTGTCGGTTTAGAAGATTTTGATATAACATTGGGCTTGCTAAACTTTGTCCTAATAGAATTAGAATCATTCGGATGCTATTAAAAATCAACAGGAATGGGTAATTCGGAAAGTATGTTAAGTGCTGGTTATTGTTATCACAATGGAATTGGAGTTGAGAAGGATGAGCATAAAGCGTTTGAATATTATCAAAAATCAGCCGAGATGGGTAATTCTAATGGTATGTGTCAGGTCGGCCATTGTTATCTCAATGGAATTGGAGTTAAAAAGAATGAACATAAGGCATTCGAATATTATCAAAAATCAGCCGAGGTGGGTAATACATCGGGAACATTTAATGTTGGTATTTGTTATCAAGTTGGAATTGGAGTTGAGAAGGATGATCATAAGGCATTCGAATATTTTCAAAAATCAGCCGAGATGGATAATGAATCGGGTCTATATAACGTTGGATATTGTTATCTCAATGGAACTGGAGTTGAAAAGGATGAACATAAGGCGCTCAAATATTATCAAAAATCAGCCGAGATGGGTAATGCATTAGGAATAAGTAACGTTGGATATTGTTATCAAAATGGAATTGGAGTTGAAAAGGATGAACATAAGGCATTCGAATATTATCAAAAATCAGCTGAGATGGGTAATGCATTAGGAACATTTAATGTTGGCGATTGTTATAAAAATGGAATTGGAGTTGAAAAGGATGAACATAAGGCATTCGAGTATTTTCAAAAATCAGCTGAGATGAATGATGAATCGGGGACATATAACGTTGGAAATTGCTATCTCGATGGAATTGGAGTTAAAAAGGATGAACATAAGGCATTCGAATATTATCAAAAATCAGCTGAGATGGGTGATTCTAATGGTATTTGTCAGGTTGGTTATTGTTATCTCAATGGAATTGGAGTTGAAAAGGATGAAAATAAGGCATTCGAATCTTATCAAATATCAGCCGAGATGGGTAATGAATTAGGAACACTTAATGTTGGCGATTGTTATCTCAATGGAATTGGAGTTGAAAAGGATGAGAATAGGGCATTCGAATCTTATCAAAAATCAGCCGAGATGGGGAATGCATTGGGAACATTTAATGTTGGCGATTGTTATAAAAATGGAATTGGAGTTGAAAAGGATGAACATAAGGCATTCGAGTGTTTTCAAAAATCAGCCGAGATGGGTAATGCATTAGGAACAAATTATGTTGGTGAATGTTATCAAAATGGATTTGGAGTTGAAAAGGATGAGAATAAGGCATTCGAATATTATCAAAAATCAGCTGAGATGGGTAATGAATCAGGAATAAATAATGTTGGATATTGTTATCAATACGAAATTGGAGTTGAAAAGGACGAACAAAAGGCATTCGAATATTATCAAAAATCAGCCGAGATGGGTAGTGGGTTTGGAACAAAAAATGTTGGTATTTGTTATCAAGATGGAATTGGAATTAAAAAGGATGAGCACAAGGCATTCGAATATTATCAAAAATCTGCCGAAATGGGTAATGTGAGTGGGATGTTTATGGTTGCCGGATGTTATAGAAACGGAATTGGAGTCGTTCGGAATTTACAAATGGCTACGCATTGGTATCGAATGTAAGTAAATCATTTAAATTTATCATTATGGCGATTTAAGCTAACATCAATATGAAAACAATTAGGGAAAGAAATCAATTGTTAGGTAAGATAGTGTCATTACTATTCTATTAGTCATCTTATTTATTCAGAATCTAATAGCGAGTCTATTTAGTTTCGAATAAATCAATACATAAAACCTCTTATATTGATAATGAATTTAAAAAAATGCTTGCCGAAAATAAATATCCGATGCTTTTTATTCCTTACAAGGAATTTGAAGACATACAGAAGATAGGGCAAGGAGGATTTGGAACTGTGTTTCATGCCTATTGGCACGATAGAGGTGTTGCACTTAAATTACTTCATGGATCAAGAAATAGTCATAAGGAGTTTATAAAAGAGGTATTTTATTTAAAATATTAGATGTTAATACATATTTAAACTTTCCCTAAACTTTTTCTTATCATTGAAGTTAAAAGCTTATTGTGATATTGGTTATAAAGACGCCACATTTTTACAATGTTATGGAATATCTAGAGACGAAACCACTAATGATTATATTCTTGTTACTAAATATGCAAAAATGGGTTCTTTGCGCAATAACCTTAGTTTACTAGCACAATCTGAATGGAAAGATAAGTTAAAATTGTTAATTAGTACTGCTTCTGATCTTCAAATAATTCATTCGCAAAATCTTATTCACCGAGATTTACATAGTGGTAATATATTACTAGAAGATATACATAGTGCATATATTGCAGATTTGGGTCTTTCAGTACCGACTGATACAGAATCTGGAGGAGTTTATGGAATTTTACCATACATAGCACCGGAAGTTCTTCGTGGCAATCCATATACCTTAGCATCAGATATTTACTCATTTGGCATAATTATGTGGGAAGTCTCCTCTGGAAAATCTGTTCCTTTTAATCGAGAATACGAAGTTCAACTTCAACTTCAAGTATGCGATGGTTCTCGACCAACTATTATTGAAGGAACTCCACAGTGTTATATGAATCTTATGAAAAGATGTTGGGATGGAAATCCAAAGAATCGTCCACTTGCAGAAGAAATTTACATGACTTTTACAGAATGGCAAAATGATCCAAATATTTTAATGGAATTAACTGAGTTTGATAAAAGGTTAAAATATATGGACGATTTGTCTGTACAAACACCAACAGAAACAGTTTATACAAGTGAATATATTCACACTAAATACGGTAAATAATAAGTATTGTTGCTTTTTATTTATTTTATAATATGTAAAATTAATACTGCTTATATATTATAGATATGTTCGAACATATATCCTCCTAGGTTTAAATATCATGTACTACAATTATCTTAAACTTTATCACGTAAATCTAGTGAATCTATGTATCTATGAATGTCATTTGATGCAATAGAATAAACTTAGAACTTTGTATAAAAACATTTTTCAAAAATTATTAATCAGTATCAATAAAATAGAAAAGTGATCTTAGAACGCTTTGAAAATATTTAAAGTTATATCAGTTATTTACGGTATTTAAATAAAAATTTTAACTATAAAAAAAAAACTTATTTTATCAAATACAGTTTATAATTTTACTTACCAAAATTTTTAATTTAATAATATATATATAAACTATCATAAAAATTTTTTTATTTGATTGTAAATTATTATTAGATACTACTCTTTATTAATATTAAGCATGTCAAGAATACATTAAGCATTTTTACATAATATCATATCTACAAATTTATACTATTGAAGCTGATAGCACAGAATCTTCTGATAATAATTCAAAGAAAAATAGAACTGAAAATATCAAGAATCAGAAAATTTTAAAGAATAATGACAATAAGAAAAGAAAATTAAAAGACATATCTAGTATACAGATTACTTAAAATAATGATAATTCAAAATAAATTATAAATTTGAAAAAGATGCAGTAAATTCGGATGAAGGTTAAGAGATTATATTTGAAAACAACATAACAGACATTAATACATAAGATCAAAAATTGAAAATAAGGATTCAAGAATAAACCATGAAAGCTTTTTTGATGATAACTTGAAAAAATATGAGGCTAAAAACATAATTTATGCAGAAAAACAACTTCTAGAAAATAGTGCGGCCAAAAAAAATTTAAATGTCATTACAGATGCATTGATTACCCAATATAATGTAGTGATATCTTCAAGTAAAAATGAAGAAATTGTGTTTGAAAATAATAACAGAGGCTCTGCTAATAGTAACTCAAAAGAAATTGAAAATTATATTAAAGACTATAAAATTTTAAAGAATAACATAACTATTGAAAGAAATTCAAATAATAGCATAATTATAGAGAAAAATTCAAACAATAATACAAATGTTTTATTTATTAGAAACAGTAATGACCAAAGTTTTTTGCCAAAAATTTCTTTTGAAGACTTTTTCAATGAATGTCTTTTCCAAAAATGATAAAACTATATTGAAAAGTAATGTAAAAACCTTTTAAAAACTCTAATTTTGATTTAAATTTTCAAGATTTTTTTTCACAAATAAATTTTTGAAGAAACTGAAATAAAGAATAGATCAAATTTAATTGAAACTGAAAGCTTTCTTGATGATAACTCAAAAAAATATAAAACTAAAAATGAATTTTATATAGAAAACAACAATGTTTAAAAAATAAATGGTTGAAAAAAATTTCAATGTTACAGGTGTATCAAATACTTAGGATAATACAGTAAGCTTTTAAAGTAAAAAACTGTCTTTAAATATAATAAACAAGTTCTGTTAACTGTAATTTGAAAAAATTCAAAAATTATATTAGAGATTAGAAAATATTAGAAAGTAGTACAATTATTAAAAAAAATTCAAACAATAATACAAATATTCTATTTATTAAAAATAATAAAATTGAAAATAACAAATAAATTATTTGAATAATAAGAAATCATTAAATAATTAAAACTTATTATGTTCAAGATTATATAAGAGAAGATTTGCATTATCACATGGACTAATGTTATAATAATTCCAAATTTCTAAAATCTGAGTTATATTTACTATAGTTGTTTTATTTCTTATATGTCTTTTTTTAGTTATATGTTTTTTCTTGGTTATAACGATTATAGTAAAAATAGAATAGTTAGAATAGTTGTTATAATTTTACTAAGATATTAGCCTATATATAAAGAAAAAGTTAAATCAAAATAAAAAAAATATTTTGCAATAAAAACTAAGTAACAGTTTAAGTAGTTGCTTTACCATAAATATGTATTGATAAATGTGAGTTTGTTTTATAAAATTTAAAGATGTAACTTAAACCAAATTATTGTATTTCAACTTTAAAAGCCTTAGTAATAGAGAAGAGTTTGAATAGTTTCTTACAATTATTACTTCTAATAACAAATTAAATAATACAAAAAATAAAACTAATTCAAGAAATTAGAAAATTGCAAATAATATTACAAATGTTTAAATTGTCTCAGATATTAATTTTAAAATTAATTAACAAACTTTTTCTATTCCTAAAGATTACTATTTACTGTTAATAAAGCTTTCACTTTTGATACTATAGATATAGTAAAAATTTAAGTTTTATCAAATCTATTGTAATTGTAATTAACAAGTTTGTCATTAAAAAAAGTTCAGATTTATATAACAATAGTAAGTGTTTTATTTATGATAAGGTGGAATTGATGTTAGTTAAAAAATTTTCTAACTAGACTTTTTTTTTATTTGACTTTTTTTTTGGAATGGATTTTCCTCATAGGTAAACATTATTTCTTTATTTGATATTATATATAACAAGATATATATCATAAAAGAAACAATATCTCTTTTATGATTTCAAGAAAGTTAAATACTGGTCCACCTACTTAACATTATTTAACTAATATTGTAAAAAATTTCAAAAGCAATATTATAGTGCTAGATAAAGTTGAATAATAGATATGTCTACCTACTTAAGAAATTTGTGAAATCTTTTGATTTTTTAAATATATGAAAATTAAAAAAAAATCAAATAAATTATAACTAAAACTATGTTAAAAAAACTATAAAATCTACAAGTAAAAAATCAATTATTTCTTCAAAAAAGTTCTGGACAAACTTATGATCCTATTTTTTCAATTTTTTGATTACTATAGATAATAAAGTATGCATAAAGTTGTTTGTTGTTATAGTTATTGGTAAACATGTAATTAATGTTATTGTTGTGATTGTTATTGTGATATAAAACTAGTTTAAGCAAATTCAATTTTTGTTTGAATTTTTGAGTAAAATCTGATTTGATGATTGAAAAGTGCTAATTATATGTAGTAAGTAAGCTGATTTCAGTTTTTTGGCCAGATAAAAATATTAAGAAATTTGAGATAGCACAGTAAATATTGTCATGATAAAGTAATATTTATAAGTTGACTTAAAACAAACAGTAAACTTACTAATTCAGTTTGAGTATAAATTTTAAAAAGTATTTGTTTTAATGAGTATAAAAATAATGATGTAGTTAGTTTTTATAATATAATAAGAATAAGGCAGAATATAAGAGAACAAAAGAAAATCAATTTTTAACAAAAAATTTTCTTTTATAATAATAACTTTAAAAACAAACACTTTGTTTTTTCCCAAGCATCTCCAATTGCACTTTACACCCTAACTACTCCCATCATGGAGCCCTCAACCTTCTTAACAAATCAAAACAATTTCTTTATACAACTATCCATAGCAACTAAAACTGCAAACTTCAAATTTATTACCTTGACTTTAAAACAAATACAATCCACAAAACTGATTATGCTAGAACTATCACTATCCCAACCTTATTAACTATCCCAAATGCTTTTTTATCATTAAAAAGAGGAAAAATATAGAAGAGATTTTCAATACTAGTGCCATCAAAGATATCAAAACTATTATTTTTGAAGAAACTGCTGTTAAAAAAAATATAATTCCTATGATCAAAACCATCGTCCAAAACACCAGAACTGAAAACTTTGATTTCAACTACATCACCAATATTGCCAATAAAGATGGGTCCCTAAATTAAAAGCGAGGACATAATTCAAATGTCCCTCCCTATTAAAAACGTTTTTTTTAAAATATAAGATCAAAAAAAAACTACTTACAAAGGTTTTTTGCAATTTAGGTCACTTGATTCAAGTGTTTTTGAATTATGTCCCTATTAAAGTAATGAATAAATAATTATATCTCTTCAAAAAGAACATAATTGATCTGTGAAATTTTATATGCTAAATAGTTTAAGGATCCATCCTTAATTGCCAATAAAATAAAGAAAGTTCAATTTGATCAACACCTCCACAAGCACTTTCAAGAATTTCTTCTTTCTTCTGAAGAAAAAACAAAAAACCTTATACAGCTTCCCCTTGAAAATGATCTACCATTCATTAATTCTTTTGTTTTCCAAAAAAAGAATAACAATTAATCAATCACAATGCAAATACATGCAAGTGTCTCATTTATCACTTCAGCCCCTCTCCTATATGAAAACACCATAGAAATTAGTGAAACATATGATAAACCAATGAAACTCTCTGATCTGGATCCTACTTCAACAAATCCCTCACAATCAAACACCCCCATTAACCAATCAATAATTAACTCACCTGACAACTCTATAACCATTTCCAATTTAATGAATATTAATAAAATAAAACCAACAAATCAATTACAATATATTAATTTTGAAGATATCATGGACCTTAATCAACTCTCCAAATCCATCAATAACAAAACCAACTATTTCAATCAAACACATGATTATCCAAAACAGAAATTAAACCAGCTTATTAAAAGGAATTCAATGAAATTGAAAAAAACTTTCAAGAAAAATACAAAAAAGAATGTAATCTCACTCAACTTTATCAACTTGGAAACAAAAAAGAAAATTCAAGTGATCATCTGTACCATTTTATTAATTATCTATCTTAGATCCATCACCATTAACAACATTCCCTTCTACAAATTAGTCAGCCTCTTCACATATCTTATTAATTACTTTATCCATAAACCACAGTCTTTCATTGACTATACCTCACTCAAAGATAAACTCAAAAACTCAGTGAACAAATTACTTCCAGAACTTTCATTCTCACCAAATGAAATTCCAGCTAATATAAAAATCACACTTCTATGTAACCTACCAATGCAAAACAAATCCCAACTTATTCTAACTCTATGTATACTAAGATCCCATCACAAATTTCAAAAACTCTCAGACAGTTTTTTTAAAATCAATCCTCCATTATCTGAAAATTCTGCTGACCTCCTACCAAAATACAAAGAAATTTTTCCAATCAAAAAACGCAGTGAATTAACCAGACTCTCTAATCTAAAGGACTATCTCCATAAAAATTACCAAGTCTCTCCCAATCTACCCAGCTTTACTTAGAATTATCACTACCAAAAAAACCACTCCCATCAACCTACTACTTGTTGAAACTTAAATATCGAAACTTCTTTTTCTTCAACCTTAGAGACAGTTCAATAACCATACAAGAACTAACTACACTCCTCCACAAAACCTATTACTTCAAACTACTATCAAATGACTTCTTCTATATCAGAAAAAGGCTTCATTATCACCTAAAAAAATCCTTGATCTTGAAATAAATATTCTTTTGCCAGTAACAAATCCAGCTGACATTTCATACCTTCTTAACAGTCTCTTGAAAAAATTTAGCTTCCAAACTCCTTTATCAAAAGAATAGATTGATATCACAAACCAAAATACAGACTTAAACTTTTAAACACCTTCAATCAAACCTTTTCTTTCAGAGAACTATAATATCGTCAATGAAAAAGCCAATACTAACTTTCCAATAACAAACAGAAAACTTTTCAAAAAATATATAATTAAAACACATCAACATTATCAATTCTCCAAAATTCCAGACAACTGGATTCAAATCCAACAGAAACCTTCTATTTCAAGCCCTTCTAAACTAAAAAATTATTTAATTCAAAACAAAATTGAAATGAATATTTTCTTAGTCAACAATGCTAACTTCATCTCAAAAATCTGCAAACTTAGAGAACATTTTGCCTTTCAAAGACTCTCCAACAAATATATCATCCAAATCAAACTTCTTGAACCATTCACAAAATTCTTCAACCTCTTTAAATAATGATTAACACAAACAAACTATTAAAAAATTTTTCGATTAAAAAAGATCTCTCAAAAATTACATTTGACAAATCTCTCACCAATACAAAACAACAATCATTGGAAATTGGCTTCCTCAATACAAGGGAACTCAACAATTACACAAAACTCAATTGCCTGTTTCAATATATAAAAAACAACAATTATGATATCTTTGACACTCTGAA